TAAATAAGACGTCATTTTTTTGGTGATAACTTTTTAACGAATAATGAGCGACAGCTAAAATCTGTTAGAAGTTACTCAGGGATTGGAAGTTATCAGGGTCATGACCTTCATAATTGTGATGTTCGGCGTAGTGATTTTAGTTACTGTAGATTGGCTAGTATAGCAGCGTGCGCCCGTTACTCTCCTCCTATCTTATTCGAAACTATTGACGAGAAACTGAGGGTTACTTTGTACATCCTTATCAATTAACAGTATTAATAAATATTAAATGGTATGTCCCGCATTGTCATTATTGCCCTGAGAACACATTTTGCAACGAGGATCAAGGTTTGAGTACCAATCACAAAGATTAAGTGAGAACCTTGTAACCAAGGCGGCTGTAAGGTAAGAAGTTAAAATGCCGGACGATTTAGATAAGCAGCAGCAATTGCAGAAAGTTCAGGAACAAATGATAGAACAGCAGCAAGTGCTAGATTATAGGCCAAGAGAGTAAGAATAATTTAGAGCGCAATTGCATCAAGAGCAAATGCAATTAATAGAATGATAAAAGCAGTTGTAGTAAGAAAAGAAAGGAACAGACTTAGCAGTGGTTTCTTCAAGGTTAGTTAGCATTCTCAATGGATCGAATAGAGCCGATAGTACCAAAAATTAACTTTTATTCGATTGGAGCATCATTATCGGAATTCTACATTAGTGAGGAACCTGTATCAGGAACGTCTTGGGCAATACTTCATGGCAAACCAAATTGCAGAAGTATGCAAGGTAGCAATATTAATTACTTTAGTGGAACAGAAAACCTACAAAATTTTAAAGGACCTCTGTGATCTGGTGTTGCCGGAATTCAAATTGTACGGATAGCTTTGTGAAATTTTAAAGAAATAATTTGTGATGTTGGTGTCACTTTGTATGGAAGGCTCGCTCGCCAAGGCGTGTAATAACGACGACTCTTTTTGTTATAACAATTTAAACTTTATTGTTGAGTCGAATTAAGATTTGTTCGAAGCGGGCGGTAGGCGATTATGTTCGTAATCCGATAATTGATGCGTTCGGTTAGATGCGTGCATAGATAACTCGCACTTGGTATGACGTTGAATAATTTCTCGCAGCTGTTAAATGCATATTGCGAGCAGCAACGAGACCGGCAAATCTCGTCGGAAACTCAGGTAATGCTCACGCACTGAATGCTCTCGCGATATGCGTATATCGGTAATGTTACGTGACAAAATACAGCGTTGATACACGCGATGAAACTTTGGTGTGGTTCGCACTCGATATTTGGGATAAGATTAAGCACGAATCTCGGTCAATGATCCGTATTGATCGGATTTGAGAAGCGAACTGAACTCTTTCGCACGCAGTGTGCGCGATAGTCAACTTTTCGAGTGTCGCGCAAGGAGGGTCGCGTGCCATCTGAGATAGATAGCATGATTAGAACAGGAGCGAGATATACTTATATTGTGAACGAAATGTTGGTCGCAGACATGATTGAACAGGGATGGCTCGGTGTTTATGAGCTGTTTACTTGCCATTCCCGAGAATATATTTAAATTTACGATAATTCCGGAACAGTTTGCATCGATCTTCAAAGAAAGAATAGAATTCTACGAATTGAAGCAAGCAGAAAAAGAATCCAGTTAATAAATGGTTCACTCGAATTTTAAAAGTAAAGCGAGTAATTGCAAATTTGATGTGCAACTTGATGGCATCATTAAAGACAGGTTCGTGGCCGGATTAAGGAAAGGGTCAATCTTGGTGATAGAGTTTGTTGAAGAAGACCATACAGCGACACTGCAGTTTATTTTGGAAGTAGCCAGAAAGAAAGAAGCAGCAGTGGCGACATCATTCAAGACTAATACGGTAGATTCATTCACAGTGTGAAGCAAGGAAAAACTAGACATACTCAACAAAAAGGAACAAGGCACGGTAAGAAGGAGGAAGCTAAGGCAATTGGATAGCATTAAGAGTTTAGAGATGAATTAAAGTGCATATATTGCGGAGGCACAAGATATATTTTTGCCAAGTGCAAATATAGAACACATAAGTATAAGGTTTGTAATAAGGAAGGTCATTTGGCCAAAATTTGTAAAAGTAATAAGAACGCAGTCGCTAATGCAAATTATTTAGTCAGAGTCGAAGAACGAAAATATGGAAATAATTGATAGGTATAATTTATGTAATATAGTTAATAGCGAAGAGCCCTTAATGATTAAAGTTGACATCGAAGGTCAATCAATTTGTATGGAATTAGATACGAGAGCGGGTAAATCTGTGCGAGTAATACCGGAAAAGATTATTAAAGAAAAATTCAATCATTGTAAATTAGAAAGTTCGATTAAAGATGTATATCGACGGAAGTGTCTTAGTAGTACCAGAAAGGCAAATTTCAGTCAAAATTAAATATCAAAATACGGTAATTTAGGTTTATTTGATAGTAATTAAAAAAGGAAGCAGATTGTTAATGGATAGAGACCTAATGAGATTTTTAAAATTGACATAACATTTTTGTATTCTATAAAAGAAAGCAATAGTCTTAAAGTCTTGTTACAAATGTATAAAGATTTATTTAACGAGGAGTTAGGTAAATATAAATTTGAAAAAATTGATCTTAAAGTAGCACGAGAAGCTCATCCAATTTTTGTCAAGCCACAAGGCTAATACTCTTAGCGTTTAAAGAAAAAGTAGGCAAGCAATTAGAAGATTTAGAAAAGAAAGGAATAATCGAATTAATGGATAATTCATTGTGGAGTACCTTTAGTTAGCCGAAAGATATGAAAAAGAACGGCAGTTTAAGGATTTGCGCAGATTATAAAGTAACAATTAATAAGTATCTTGATGACGTTAAACATCCTTTACCGAGAATTGAGGAATTATTTGCAGCGCTAAGCGGTGGAGAATTGTTGTGTACTAAATTAGATCTTACAGCAGCGTATAATCAGTTGGAGGTTACTGAGGAAATTAGTAAGCTACTTGCTTGGAATATTCATAAGGATATTTATTTGCTTAAGAGGTTACCCTTCGGAACCAAGCCAGCGTACACAATTTTTTAGAGGAAACTATGGAAAAGATTTTATTATATTAAAAATGTAATTAATTTTATAGATGACATTGTAGGTTAAAGGTACTAACAAAGAAGAGCATTTAAAAAATTTGGAAGAAGTATTTATTTAGGCGTCTTTCAGAAACAGGATTTAAGGTTAATTTAAAAAAAATCAATATTTTTCCAACTTGAGATTAAGTACTTGGGACATATCATAAACAAGGAAGGATTGCATAAGGATTCTGAAAAGGTAGCAGCCATGGCAGAAGCACCGAAGCCCGAAAGTGTAGCGGAAGTGAAGGCTTTTATTGGCATGGTCAATTATTATGGTAAATTTGTACAAAATTGTCATAGATGTTAGCACCCTTGTATGAGCTTCAGCGTAGTAAAGTATTTAAATGGACGCGACAGTGTGACGAACTATTTAAAAGTATTAAAAACGAATTGGCTTCAGAAAGAAATTTAATTCATTTTAATAAGGATTGGAAACTTGAACTAGTCTGCGATGCGTCAGAGGTGGATATTGGAGCTGTATTGTTGCATGTTTTGCCAGATAATACAAAAAGGCTTGTTGCATTTGTCTAGGATTCTTCACGAAGTAAAAAAGAACTACTCAGTTATACATTAAGAAATCCTAAAGATCAAAGACCTCCACTCAGTTCTGCAGGTGTATACAAAATAGCTTGTTCCTAGCGGGCAAGTATACATTGGAGAAACTAGGAAAATGGTCAACCTACGGATAAAAGAATCAACGCGATCAGGCTAAAACATGTCACGCAATCAGCATTATCAGAACACAACATTGAAACAAGACATCAAATACTGTTTGATAAAACAATCACAACAACCAACGTTACATCATACTTTACAAGAAAGTATAGAGAAGCCATAGAGATACAAAAACACCTTAATAATCTAAATAGAGATAATGTCTACAACAAAATAAAATATGGAAAACCATTCTCCCGGTTATTGAAGACTAACCGATTCCCTCCCCCCCACAATTCTTTTCTTCCCCCCCACTACTCCAACAAGTAGCGTAATATAAAAAAGGAACGACCCGGAGGAATAGCTCAGTATCAGGCTGCTCCTGATGAAGTGGACTGCAACGTTCACGAAACTATTTCTTGGCATTTCAAGAATGGATCTGGACACAGAGGAAACTCGCGAAACGCATAATCTATATAGAAGAGGAAATTTATTTAAAACAGAATAAAGAAGAGAACAAAGGAAAGGATTTGAAGATGTTAGAAGTTGTTAAAGAATCGAGGAGTGAAGATAAATATAGATATAGAGCGAGAAGAAGTAAAGACTGATTAGTGTAAGATCTAAAAGGAAGATTAAACAAGTTGAGAAATTTAATTTATAAATAAGAGTTAGGATATATAAATTATTTTAAGTATTTCCTTATTTTGTCGGGGAGGAAATGTGATGTTCAGCGTAGTGATTTTAGTTACTGTAAGTTGGCACTACTGGTATAGCCGTTGTTTTCCTCCTATCTTTTGTATTTTATTCGAAACTATCCGTTACTCTGTATACCTTCGTCAGTTAACAGTATTACTAAATATTAAGTGGTCCTGCATTGTCATTATTCCTCTGCGAATACCCACAATAACATACGTCAAGGTCATCGGAACGGGTTCTCTCCATCGGTATATTTACCAAAAATAAATCTAATATTAACTGTACTAAATTTGTATTCAACTTTTTAGCAGAAGATACATATATGTTAACAAACTTCACATGTACACATGCACGTATGCACGTATCCGTACTTTTCATGAAAAATAAAAATTTAGAAAAAATTTTTTACAATCTGAAAAGAATTTAAATGTGTATTTTTTTCAATACAATAATAATACAATAATAATTTGTTAATTGTATTGAAAAGAGAATGTTTATATTTAAGGATTTTGTTCTTATTATATTTTATCTTTTTTATTTTGCCTTTTTACATTTTCAGATGTAATCCTGATGTAAGCGTGCCACTACCATTAAATCAATTAGTAATAGAAAATATGTTAAGATTACCTGGACTTAGCGCAGATACGTTATTACAAGCCATTAAAGGAAATACTTTTGATCATGTATCAGCTATATACAATTTACTTGTTGATCGATTAGAACCAACAATGCCTAATTTACACAGTATTCAAAGTATTCCAGGTGATTATTTGCCAGATGGTGCACATCAATTAGAGAAGGTAATTATATTATTTTTTAAAAAGGGACAGATATTACTTATTTGTCTCCTTATTTGGTTTGCTCATCTTTATTTTTACAGGTATTCATTTGGTTCGCACAGTAAATTGTATAACTTAGAAGTACACTATTAAATTATTACACACAATTTTTATTTGTTTTATTTAATTGTGCTCTGTTTTGTCACTTCGTCGTTATTATATTATTAATATAAGTTTTTAATTAATTTTCTATTAAAGTATAATAGTTATGTGATGATTGTTTAACATTTCAGTTTAACATTTCCGATTTATGATTTAAGTCTACGGCACACGATGCTTCCTTTTCTGTGTGTTTGTTGCCGTGTTGGCAGTGCTGCAGGGTCTATTGCTAGTTCGAATTCAGATGGTATGAGTTTTTGTGCTGGCTGAGAAGCTGGAATTTGCTTGATAGAAGACACTCAGCAAAAGTATTCAAATAAGTAAACATAGAGTAAATAGTTATTATGGTAATGGTGGAATAAATAGTTATTGTGATAATGATGGAGTAAATAATTATTATCACAAAAGTGATGATTACATTGTTTTTAATTATTGCGAAGAGAATACTATGATCACATAACTTATGATTGCGTTCTAATTAATTCTCACGAGCCAGCACAAAATTATGTAAGAAAAATAACTCCTGGCCTATTATGAAAATTGAGAGATCAACTAGCAACGTAGCCTGTAAGCCACACAATTTCCAGTAGTTAGTAAGATAACCAACATAGTAGCATGCAAGAAGCAGTAGGAAAAAAAGCAGATTCATGTTTTAAATATTCTGCTAAATATTAAAGATGTTTGATGATTTTTTTATCTTTGGACATTAGATTTATGCTTTTTAGTTTGACAACGTTCCGTCTTTATTTATTTTGACAATATTATTTTGATTTTATAGATTTATTGTAAAATGAAATAGTTATTTTTTGTTAATTTGTTAGTATTTTATATTGAAGAGGAATATTCCAAATCAAGAGTCGAAACATTTGTAATTTTATTTTATTAATATACTTTTTACATATGACCACCTGTCGACTCCCATAGCTTTTCTTTTAATTTATGATTACAGATCTAATTTTAATGTATGTTACTTATTGATCATGTTATTATTTTAAGCGATAGTTTTGTTTTGATAGGTACTTTTAGTAAGATTTTTTTCAATTAAGACTATTATTTTAATTAAGTATATGATTGTTTTATCATTTTTAAGAATTTGAATAATGTCATCATTTATTTATATTTTTAGAGTTGAAAATAATTTTATACAAATTTTTTATCCTTATGTTTAATCGCGCTTATTTTAAATTAATTTTTAAGTAAAATTCCGTTTTGAGAATAAATCCAACTCAATAATATTATAAAAACAACATGCTAATAAGAGCCAAACGCGACTATTATTGAACAAATATTAATATTTGTTATTTCAGTATTACGTAGGTATCGCAAATATTGTGATCATATTTTTGGTCCTTTTCAGTACAAATTAATGAATTCAAAAGTAATGTTAAAATAAAGGGGTAAATAAAAGCGTAAGAAAGAAAAAAGCGCGGATTGAAAACGCATGAAAATATAAAAACTGCAAATCATAAAAAGTGCAAAGTAAAAAGTTACGCAAAAGATTGCAATCATATCGCAAGTATACACTTATGAAACACTGCAATAATAAACATTAATACATATTCGCGCATCAGCAATTGCTCAATAATTAATTTATTGCGAAAAATATTACTCCCTTGACCGGGAGTCGGACTCGGATCTTTTGCTTTCCGGGCGAGCGTCCTAAGCCTTTATATCACCGAGGCCTTAGCAATATTCTTCGCAATAATTGGCATATGAAGGAATAATGTCTATTTAGGTGACGTAAATAAATTAGTAACAATATATTATAGGACCGTATATCTGTGATAACAGAGAAACTGCAGAAATCAATACTTTAAACGATCTGGATCTTAAATATTTGTAAAATTAATTATTTATAGATTTTAATATGTCATTCAGCATTATTAAGATCGTTCGAAGATGTGAAAAAGCATCAATTGTTAAATTACTAGTCGTGACATTACTGTGGTAGTTTAGAGTTAGCGTTTTAAGACCGAAAAATCATTTCGTCGTGCATTTCAAAGGACTACATACGTAGTACATAAATTCACACAGAATCATACAAGCATTTAAGATCCAGCTAGACTTTAAGGCATTGATTTCTATAGTTTATGTTATACACACATATATGGTCTTATAAGATATTATATTATTTTTTATATAATTCAAGATCGAGTTATCGATTAAACCTATTAAGAACTTAATTGGTTCTGTCACTTTTAAGTTCCCATAAATTCAGAGTTCCCATATATTCGCAGTCATGCGGCCTGTATACACGACTATACACGAGCTGGTTTCGCCGCTCATGTGCATTTGATGTGAGATACTATTGTCTCTTGGGGTGCGTTCCACTTAACGCCTGCAATGCTCACAAACCCGTTCCACATAACGACCATGAATCATTGTGGTCGCGATCAAAACGTCATAAATGACGTCATTAATCGCGATCTCGTCAAGCTCATGTCGCTCATGATTCGGCGTGATAGTTTCGTCGTCTGTTTTTTGCGCGGGCATTTTGTTTTGTTCCCGGTGTTATATATTTTTTATATGAAAAGAGTCTCTTTATATGATCCGGAAAGAGGTAAACACTATTTCCCATTCGTCATTTGAACTCGAGTCTTCAGATTTATATTTTCTATAGTGCAGTACGATTACTTTAATGGTATCCTGTACACACAAAACTTGTTCCACTTAAGATTTCGCCCGCAGAGCCCGCAAGTTAGTGGAACAGCAAATATTGTGAATATGATTGCAGATTTTAAGTGGAACGCATTCTTAATAGATTCAAGTAATATACAGGGTGCCTAATAAAGACTGCGCTTAGAAGATAGATTTTTGAGATTATTTTGATACGAAAATTTTAACACCAAAATGCCAAGGCTATAATATGTAATTTTAAAATTATAAGCATTTAAAGTTAACGAATGATAAGTTCACTCGTTGAGGTGTGATATAACGCAAAATGTAAACTATATCTTAATACGTGATATCTTTAGACGTTATGATTCGCCAATTTTAAATGTTTACAATTAAAAAACTATTATAGCCTTGATATTTCATATTAAGATTTTTGTCTCAAAATAATTACAGGAATCTACCTTTAAGCGTTGTTACCAGTGTTGTATCCTGTATATGTTCCTTATTTGTTGCCTAAACATTTAATGAGATAAAATACGATTAAAAATACAAATGATATGCATTTATAGAAAAATAAAAATTTCCGAATTGTTCGTAATACTGACTATAAATTGTTTTACTTTCACAATTTACTGTGTAAATCAAGAATTTGTAAATTAAAAGAAGCTTATATACTTTATTTCTTTATGTTTAACTAATGTGTTAATAAATTGTTTGTATTATATAGTTATATGTTTTTGACAGTTTGGTGAAACTGAAGCGGAAACGGAAGAGAAAAGTGGTCTTTATTTGCCATCTGGAACATCTTATCATACAACAAGAAGACATACAGTTGGACCTGGTGATGCAGTGCATCAATCTCCTTCGTCATATCCTTATCATCATATGTCAGGCTATCAAACTTTACGGCCTCTTCCTGTTCTTCAGTGTAATATGGATCCTCAAGTTTTACCACATACCAATTTACCATTAAATCTTCCCTTAGTTCAACATCAACCACCACAAAATTTCCAAATAAAGGATCAACATTTATTGAAACCACCTCCTGTTATGGGTGCCAGTAAGTTTTATCTTGTTTTATGAAAGATATTTTTAAAATTTATTAGGTGTTGGAATTAATTCGTAGCGTTTTACAAGAGATGGGAAGTACTTTCATTAATGTATTTTTTAATGCTCATGTGAAATAAATAACATTCTTTTATTAAAAACGCTACGAATTAATTCCAACACCTAATATTTTTAAATTATTAAAATAATTAAATAATTAAAATTATATAAATAATTTATTTTTAAATTAATTAATAATTAATTTAAATTAATAAATTCTTTGTTTTATTAAATTAATTGATTAGTAATAAATATGTTACTGTACCTTTTTTGTCAGTATAACATTATATTCAGAATTAATTTCCATAAAATTATATTAGGTAAATACAGGGTGGGCCATCTATTGGTACGTTTTTAAAAATGCGATCAAATGAGCATACATTGATATTTTTTATTAATTTTTTTTTTGTTGTGAAGCTAAAAGTATCCGCGTCAAGAATGAAAAACGATTTCGTTCATGTGGCTCCCTCTACTGGCCTTACAGTATGCCATTCGGTCACCCCAATTATTAATGACATTTTGGACTACCTCGGCGCCAATTTCACTCAAAACAGTCGTAATATAATGTCATCCACTAACATCCCTTTCTCACGAACTTTCCTCACCAATTTGCGTATAGCTCCTTCGGTGGGTGCTCTATCACGACCCATATTTCTTTTCAAAATTCGTACAGTTTCGGCGACACAGCACTGACTTTGAAAATAAGTTTTTAAAATTTCAAAACGCTCTTCAAGAGAAAACATGTTGTTTCGTGCCGCGGACGGTATGACTAATAAACTGTCAAAATTTCGGGTCTGTAGCTCGTTCGGTGTTGCCATACGACGAAATTCAAAAACGTACCAATAGATGGCCCACCCTGTATTAATAATAACGGAAGCAGCTCCCTGAGTAACCTCCAACGGGTTTTAGCTGCCTTCATTAAAAAGTTAACTAAAAAAGTTTGAAAAATTACATTTTATTTCTGCTAAATATAATATTGAAAAATATCAGTAAATGACAATAATGTTAAATGAACACTGAATATCTATGTAGAATTATCTAACGATTCTAACGGATACAATTCGCTTATTATTTCAAAAAAACATTCAATATTTGTTTGTCAAAAGTATCCACCAAAACAAATGAACAATATAATCATGTGAAGTAGTACATTGAGTAGGGAGGGGAGGGGAATGAGAGTCGTGCGCCCCTGAAACAGGGGTGGAGGGGGAGGGTGAGAGTCGAAGATCAGTTGTGCGCTCCTTTGCAGGAGGATGAAAGGAGGGGGGGGGGGGGGGAGTCGAAAGTGAAAGCCACCTAAAATTTGCTGGAAGTCTTTCAAAGTCATAACCTTAACGACATATGTCGAAGTCGTGGCATCCCCTGCAATGCACGACTATCAAACATATTTTGAAGTAGTTAATTTTCGTGTTATATAATTGAACTTTTTTTGTTAATAACTTCTTAACGAATAACGAGCGACGGCTAAGATTTGTTGGAGGTCATGATCTTGACAACATATATCAAGGTTAAGATTATCGGAGCTGCTTCCGTTATTATTAATATTAATCTTATATTATTTTGTGATTTATTTTCGCGTTATATGTATATGTGCGACTTATTTACTTGTGTTATTGACTTGTATTAAATATTTCTGTAAAATTAATTTACTATTGAATGATAATATAATATAAATACATATGCGAATATTTTTGTATAATGTTAGATTATGTTATAATATGAATTTAATGTGAGTATTTGAAATTTGTAAAGATAAATTTTTATATTCCATAGAGTCCTAGCGATTTGAATTAAAAATATTTTTTTGCATAAATTGTCGATTGATAATAAAAAATAACAAAGCAAGAAGTATATGCGCGTGTACGCACGCATGCACGCACAAACGCATATGTTGGAGAGACAGCGAGGGGGGGGGAGGGAGGGATGTGCGCGCGCGCGCACAACACAAGCACATATGCATAAACGGAATAAATAAAATTACGTAAAAAATTTATAACAAATGAATTAATTCGTTAAATACATACAAGATAAGTAGATAAAAAATATATACATAGTATTAAAATCTTAGGAAAAAATTGTAGGAAATGGTAGACATCGAAAGAAAAAACTTTTGTTGAGGAACTTATGTATTTAACGCCTTTTTGAGAAGATACACTGTATAATCGTTTTACAATATTGCACGTCTGACAATTCTAGTTCAAATTTTTGCTTTTTATTGTCCTTTTGAAAAACACTTAAATAACATGAACTATATTTGACAGACGTCACACGCAATTGAATGAGTAGACTTATTAAAAATCGGTTTTTCCTCTTCTCTCTCTCTCTCTCTCTCTCTCTCTCTGTTTTTTTCACTTTTATTTAATTCTTTCTATTTTCTCTTTCTAGTGTATATTATATTATGTTTTACGTTTGCGCATATATTTATATAGAAGCAAAACATTATTTATGTTAATTTTATATTTATTATATGAATTATCCCATTTTAATTTAGTTTAGGTAAATATCTTGTAATATATGGAATATATTATATACGGAAAACCGTTTTAGATGAAAATGGAATGGTTTCTACGGTTACGTATTTTGAAGACAAATAGAATAATGAGATGAATCAAATGATATAAAGAAAACATAATTTCTTAATTAAAAATTATTTATTTTGCTTATACATTTTTTTAACGCAATTGTGTGTTTTTCTTTACACTAATTGATTTATCTAATTATTCTGTTTATACAGTGTTAAAGCGTCCCCATTATAAAAAAATTAATAATTCATGAGATATTTATAAAAATATTTTATGTCAATAAAGTAAAAAAAATAAAGTAAAAAATATCTCATAAACTATTGGTTTGTTAATTCCTCAACTTAAGTACTTTTTTTTATGCAAAATAATTAGAGGAATCATATCATATATTATATAAAAAAAATCATGTAATTCTATATAAAAAAATGGCCTTAATATTTTTTTGGCGCCTTTACCGGAAAAAAACAACGTGACCAAAATATGTCTCCTTCGAATCTATTTCATTTTCTTCTGAAATATTTTTCTATATTATTCGAGATATTTGTTAAGGTACAGGGTCCATTATAAAAGTAATGCGCATTTTCTGGGAAAAATAGATTTATTGATCGTAGCGGTACAAATGCTCAAAATTCTTCAAAATACTCTCCTCCTGAATCAATACACTTGCGGAGACGTGTCTGCCACGCTTGGAAGGCACGCTGAAACTCCTCGACGGGAATGTCTCTTAGGAACATTGTAACATGCTTTTGGATGTTTTTCACGGACTCCCAATGCTTTCCTTTCAGCTCTCTCTTCAGACGGGGAAACAAAAAAAAGTCGCACGGAGCCAAGTCGGGACTGTAAGGGGGTTGGGGGACCACCGGGGTGTTGTTCCGGGCCAGGTAGTTGGCAACGATGAAGGCCGTGTGGCTGGGGGCATTGTCATGGTGGAGCTTGATCGCGTCTTTGATGTCAGCCCTCACGCGCG